TTCCCCCTCATCTCCCCCGCGCGCATTCAACCCTACCTCCTTTTCCCCCCCCCCCCCAACCCACCCCGACCCCCCCGACCTCACATTTTCGGAGACGACGACTGCTGCACCAGCGCTCCGCCACCGCTAAGGGCCCCGTTGGCGGTTGCTGCTGCTGTTGCGGCGGCGGCGGCAGCTACTGCCGTCGCGCCCCCCTCCGGCCCCAAACTAGCCTTCCGGCCCACATGCACCCGCAGTGGGCTGCCAACACCAGCACCAACGCCACCTCCGCCACCCCCCCCTGAAACAGCGTTTTGCTGGTCTCGTGCGCTACCCAGCCGCCGATGTGCTTGTAGGGCGGTCCGCTCCATCTGTCCCGGAGAGGAAGCGAGTCCCGATGGTGGGGAAAGGGGGAGAGGAGGGGGGAGAGGAGGGGGAGAGGAGGGGTTACTGCGATTTTTGGTGTGAACTTTGTGGGCCAGAGTGTACATGTACACGTGTGTTTATGCCGTACACTTATCATAGCGTCGTGTGGTAGGCACGGCACGGCACGGCACAGCATAACCCTAAATCCAAACCCGCTCCTCCCCCCTTTCCCCGGGAGTCAAGTGGTTGGGGTCACCCCTCCTCCCCTTTCTCCCCCCCACCGCCCACCCCCCGGCCACCTGGAGGGCCTTAGTCATTCGCTGCTCATTGAGCGCCGCTCGCTCCAGGGAGGCCATCAGCTGCCCCGAGACCAGGGCAGCCACCTCGGATATGCTGGGGCGCCTGGTGGCCCGAGGGGGGTTGGGTAAGGAGGGGAATGGGGGGAGTTTTGAAGTAGAGAAACTGGGATAGAGTGGTGGCGGAGGGCAGGGGGGGGAAAGACGAACCACACGCGATTGAAGCTGCTGCCAGGGCAAGATAGTAGCAAACGGGGCAGGGCAGGGGGGGGGAGAGCACGGCAGGCAGGGAATGGGGTGTAGCGATGGTGGAGGTGGCGGGGGGATGAAAATACAGCAGACACGGCGGTGCGTGTGTGTGTATGTGTATGCGTGTGTGTGTGTGTGTGTGTGTGTGTGTGTGTCGGAGCGAGAGAGGCGCGGAAAAAAACGGGTAACTTGTTTAAGAAGATATCGGGTACGTTTGTGTGGATACCTGTAAACGATCCCAACCCCTTACTCCTTGCTGCTCGCGCTCACACACAACTCCCTCACTTACCCCTGCTACCCGCCCGCAACAGGCCCCGCTAATCTCCCCCACCCCAATACGGCCACCATCACCCCGCCATCTCCCGCCCTCTTGAGCCGCCGAGCGGGCCGTCGGGACACTAACCCATATCCTCACCCCTTACGCGTGTATCCTCTTCGCCGTCGCCGCTAAATCTAATTTTCCCTCCTGCAATACAAATACATCGAAACTCACAACGCACGCTATCTACAAAGAGCTCCCCCCACCCCATATGAAAACTGCATACCCCCCCTAGCCCCCCTTTTACATGTCTCCCCCACCACCATTAACACACACATACATGCATGCATACATACATACACACGCAATTTCTACAGACCAATTGGACCTACAAAACCCACTTTTTTGGATCCACCGTCATCAGCGTTCCAATGAGCCGCTTCAGCTGGGCGCTGTACGGCGGTCCGACAGTGGCGGGCGGATCGGCGGGCGCGTCGTACGATCCCTCCACAATCTTATGCGCAACCGACAACGGATTACTGCCGTCAAAAGGCGGCCGGAGCATTACCATATGGTACGTCACACACCCCAGGGACCACACATCGGCCTTCTCGCTGTACGGCTCCTGTTGACGTACAGTACGGACAGTACGGATGGTACGGCAGCGGTCAGTGAGGGGAAGGCAAACTGACCAACGACATGACGTGTGCCGGTAAAGGGCATCTGTTCTTCATTTACTATTCCTTTTGGTTTATTCATTTCATATTATATATACATATATAACATATACATATACATATACATATACATATACATATACATATACATATACATATACATATACATATACATATACATATACATATACATATACATATACATATACATATATATGTATATTATTTTTTACAAAGCAGCACGCGAATGGTCCGTGTTCGTTCTCCCCCTCCGTGTCCATCACCGTACCATCTTCCCAAACCTTTTCCCACCAACCCCCGGCGGCACACGCAATCCAGCCATCCAATACGGACAAGAACCCCGGGTTGTTCGTACCGCCCAGCTCGTACAGTCGTACCTGCTGTATTATTTCCGGACAGGTGTACGGCATTGTTCCCACCATGGACTGCGCCACTACGCTACTGGACAGCCTCTTGGCCAATCCAAAGTCCGCAATCTGCGCCCCCCCGCATGTGTTGGGTTTTATGGTGGGGAGGAGGGGGGTTTTAGGGGGTGTTTTGGGTGGGTGAAAATTTGAAGATTACAAGGATTGATAGATTTACCCGGGGGAAGACTTACGTGAGCGCAATACACACAACTGCGGCACAAATGTGGCAGTAGCTTGTGAATTTGCCGAAGGGTGATTTTCACGGTGTTTTATAAGGAACTGAATTATTGATCAATATGTCGAAAGCAATCAAGGTGCTAATCCAGAGGTGGCAGCGATGTAATTGACACAACGCAGATGATGTGCGGTACTGCTAGGGGGCGAAAAAGGTGGGGGGAGTTGAAGGGGTGCGGGGGGTGGGTTTGCGGAGGAGAAGAAGAACGACGAGCGGGAGCGGGAGGGGGAACTGCGCCGGTCAAAACACATGGCTTCTTTATCAACTACTCGCCACACCGCCTCTCGGTGCCTTTTCAAATATTACACTTCCCCCCTCACACACATACATACAGACATACAGACAGACACATAGACACACATCACGCTACCTCACGCCGACCTTTCCCCCCTCACCCCCAATACCCCCCCTTCCCCCTGCCCCCCCCCCAAAACACACGCACCTTGGTATGCCTCAGCCCCTCCGGGCCCTGCCCCAACACGATGTTGGCCGGGGTCAAATCCCGGTGTACGATCTTCTTCACCCCGTGGATGTAGTTGAGGGCCAGGATGACCGCCATAAGAACCTGCAGTACGAACAGCAGCCGTTCGTACATAACATACCGCCCAGAGGCTGTAAAGTATATGCATTTTTACATGTATGTATGTATGTACGTATGTGTGCATACATGTGAAAGAGACAGCAAGAGGGCAAAACGGGGAGAGGGAGGCGGACGGAACGAACAGCGCTATCGCAAGTATTTCATTCCCGCCAGATGCTACATGCCACATGACCCGCTGAGTGAACCGTACCTTCTTTTACCCCCTCCTCCCCCACTCCAATCCCCCGCCCCCCCACTACATCCCCAACCCAACGGGGGGGGTTTGAATCATTGGCGGTCCACTACCGCCTACCTGCCATATATCCTGTTCAGGCATTCGCCGACCCTTCTGCTCCAAACCCTGACGCGCACGGAGACACGTGTGTGTATAGGGGGGGGTGAGGGGGGAAAGGAGGGGGGGAGAGGGGTAATATATAACAAAGTTAACCGTCAGGGAAGCAAAGCGTCCCAAACACATGTGAGCGCCAAAAATAGGGGGGAGGGGAGGGGAGGTGGTGGAGGGGTAAGGTCTTGCCGTACCCGGGGGCTACCGGGCTCCGCATTCGGGCCCCCGGGAGCTCCAAATACGACGACTAAACCATCACCACCACCATCCATGACGGTGACAAGCCGCCCCAAGTGCCTCATTTTTGCCTTTCGCCAATCATCTGTACGAGCAGACATACACACACATAGACACACACGAACACACATACACACATACACACCGATATAACGCCCCTTCCATGATGGAGAGCTTCGGGGGTCGTAGGTGCCCCTGGCCAGCGCCAGGCCCGGATCGATATGTAACAAAGAGACACACATACATACACATACACACACACCATAGTCGCACGCCACGTTCCCTCCCCCCTCCTCTCCTCTGCCTCTTGCCCTCCCCCCCTCCCCCCACACCTCCACCCGACCCCCCCTTATCCACCCNCCTGCAGGTGGTCCAGCAGACTGGTTCCCTCCACGAGCTCCATGGCAATGTACAGATAGGGCCCGGAGGGAAAAGGACTCGTAGTACTTGGAAGGGGAAGAGGAGGAAGGGGAAGAGGAGGAGGAAAGGGAAGGGGAGAAGGAAGGGGGGGTTAGAAACCATGTGAGGGAATGCG